AACATTTTTTCTTTTTTTTTTTTTGTATCTATATGAGATGAGATGATGGATGTTAAAACTTATTATGGTAATCATTTCACAATACATATAGGTCAAGTCATTATGCTATATACCTTAAACCTGAATAGTGCTATATGTCAATTATACTTCAATAAAATTAAATAATTTTTTAATTAGAAAAAAAATTTTCAATCAGAAAAAAGAAGTCATAAGTCAACTGATAAACTGGAAATATTTGCAACATATACTGTAGACAAATACATAAAGAGCTCTTAAAAACTTAATAGACACAGCATTATTCACAATAGTCAAAAGGTACAAGCAACCAAGTAAGTGCCCACTCATAGATGAATGGAGAAACAAAATGTGGTATATAAATACAATGCAGTATTATTCAGCCTTAAAAAGGAAGGACATTCTGACACATGCTACCACACGGATGAACCGTGAAGACATTATGCTTAGTGAAATAAGCAAGCACAAAATGACAGTGTATGATTCCACTTTCGTGAGGTACCTAAAGCAGTCAAATTCATAGAGACAGAAAGTAATATGGTGGTTGCCAGGGGCTGGGGGAGGGGAGGAACAGGGAGTGTTTAACAGGTACAGGGTTTTAATTTCAGAAGATGGAAAAAAGTTCTGGAGGTGGATGGTGGTAATGGTTGCATAACAGTGTTGATGTCTTAATGTCATCAAACTGTACACTTAAAAATACTTCAAAAATTAAATTTCACATTAAGTACGTTATACAATAAGAAAAAAAACTAGAAAAATAGGGAAAATAAGTAAACAATCAACAAAAACAGACATTCAACTGGCTATCAAACATATGAAAAAATGCTCACACCCGCTTATAATTAGAGAAATGCAAATTAAAACAACACTGAGACACTATGTCTATCATACTGTCACTATCACTGGCAAAAATTAAAATTAATGGGAAAAAAAGCAGGAAGGGAAACAAACCACAAGAGACTCTTAATGATAGAGAACTGAGGGTTGATAGTGGGGGGCCGGGGGGGGCGGCGGTGGTATTAAAAAGGGCACTTGGAGTGCCTGCATGGCTCAGTCAGTTAAGCGTCCGACTCCAGCTCAGGTCATGATCTCAGGGTTGGTGAGTTTGAGGCCTGCGTCGGGCTCTGTGCTGACACCTTAGTGCCTGAAGCCTGCTTCAGATTGTGCCTCCTTCTCTCTCTGTCCCTTCCCAGTTTGTGCTCTGTCTTTCCCTCTCTCTCTCTCTAAAGTAAATAAACATTAAAAAATTTTAAAAACAAAAAGGGCACCTGTTGTGATAAGCACTGGATGTTGTACGTAAGTGATGAATCATTTAATTCTACTCCTGAAACCAATATTGCACTGTATGTTAACTAAAATTTAAAGTCATTAAATTAAAGTTAACAAATTTTAATTGTTGGAGAGGTTGTCAGGAAACAGGCATTATTTTCATACACTGTTGATGGGATTGCCAACTAGCACAACCACTCTCGAGGGGAATTTGACAAGAGCTAACAAAACTACAAATGCCCTGACGTTTCAATCCAACAACTCCACTTCTAGGAATCAGTCTTGAAGATGTACCTCCAATAATATGAAATACATACACACGGGGTTATTCATTCCAGCATTGTTTGTAATTTCAAGAGACTGGAAACAACCTAAATGACTACAGATAGTGTAGTGGATGAATAAACTATGGTACATCCACACAATGAAGTAATATGTAGCTGTAAAAATTAATGAGGAAACGTTTATAGAGCATTATTCATAATAACCAAAAATAGAAATAACCCAAATGTCCATCAACTGACAAATGGATAAATAAAAAGTAATGAACACTGACAACAGGATGAACCATGAAAACATTATGCTAAGTGAAAGAAGCCAGTCACAGACCACATCTTGCATGATCCCATTAATAAGAAATATCCAGGAAAGGCAAATCTATATAGACAGAAAGTATTTGTGACCACCTCGACATAGGGGGGAGACAGTGAGAAGTTTTCTAACAGGTACAGGGTTTCTTTTTGGGGTGACAAAATGCTCTAAAATTGATTGTGGTGATGCTCACACAACTCTATGAATATTAAAAACCACTGAATTGTATGTAAAGTTTATCTCAATAAATAGGCAAATTTTATCTCAATAAAACTTTTAAAAAATGAATAAGATCTCTATGAACACATACAGGAGGATTTTCAAGACATTGTTAAGTGACAAAAGGAAACACAATTATCTTTAGCATGCCACCTTTCATATATAAAAGAAGAGGAGCTAAGAAATTACATGACCATCTATTCATTTGTGCAAAAGAAAGGATAATCCAGACACCAAAGAGATCAGTTAGCTGCAGGGGATAAGTGGGAAAGGGGTGAAAGGTGGAGGAGAACAGGGACAAGGTGGCAGGAGCAGGAGAGTGAGTGACACTTTCCAGAGTATACCTTTGTTACAGTTCTTTCTTACTCTTAGAAGCACAGTCATGTTTCCCACTCGAAAAATAATTAAAACCAACTAAGTTCCAGGGGGAACCCAAAATGTAATATAAACATTAACAATGAACCTACTGCATTACAAATTACATAACCACACTGAAGGGCATAACAAAGAATTATGATTCCAGAATAGGGGTAGAGAGTACACAAGATAAGCCTGGAACAGGGGCGCTTGGGTAGCTCAGCTGGTTAAGTGGGTTAAGCAACCAACTCTTGATTTAGACTCAGGTCATGATCTCGCAGTTCATGATCCAAGCCCTGTGTAAGGCTCTGCGCTGAAAGTGCAGAGTCTGCTTGGGATTCTCCCTCTCCCTCTCTCTACCCCTCCCCTGTGCTCATGCTCTGTCTCTCTCTCTGCCTCAAAATAAATAAACAAACATGAAAAAGAAATTTAAAAAAAAAGATAAGCCTGGAACATCTTGTGGTGCCAGAAAATAAGTAAATCCTCCAAAAAAATGGTGAGGATCCATTGACACAGATGCTTACTAACTAGAAAGAGAAAGATAGTAACTTTATAGTAGAGAAACCTAGCAGATACCAACTAAACCAAGCAATCAAGACAAACATCACCAGTAATAAGACCTATCAGCATCTTGAACTCCTTCATATGACATACTGAGGACAACACAATGTTTGTATCATTCTGGCCAAAAATGCATGGCCTCACTCCAATCACGAGAAAATATGAGACAAATCCAAGTTGAAGGATATCAGGCAAAATAACTGATCAGTACTCTTGAAAAATGTCAAGACCAAGAAAGACAAGACTAAGTAATTAAGGATGAAGGAGCAATTACTAAATGCAATGAGAAGTTAGATAGGATCACAGAATGAAAAATAGAACATTGTGCAAAACTGGTGATATTCAAACTAGGTTAATGGCTGAGTTAATAAAACTGCACCAATATTAGTTTCCTGTTCTTGATAGTTCCATCATGATTATGTAAGATGTGAATATTAGGGAAAGGAGGGTGATGGACAGAAGGAAACTCTGTATTATTGTTGCAACTCTTCTCTAAACCTAAAATTAGTTTAAAATAAACAATATAAAAAGAAATAGCCATTTGAGATTATGTATTCATCATCTGTAAGGACTGTGAGGATGGGGACCATGTCTGTATTGTTCACCACAAACCCCAGAAACCCACTAGCAGGAGGAAAAAAAAAAAAGCAGCTATTGAATAAAGAAAGAAAATATCTATTCATTTCTCAGCCTCCCAGCCCAGCAATCATATTATCCCAGAATAGCACATTCAGGAGTTTAACCTCACAAATTTCCAAACTCTTTAGGCTATGGTTTCCACAACCTTAAGAACACATAAAGAACAGCACACTTTGAGTACCTCGGCACCCTGACCCAGTCAGTGATAAGCAGTGGTGTTTCCTGACATGCTCTGGTCTGGGAGTCAGGAGGCCTAGGTCTTGGGCCACATTGTGGCACTACCTGACTGTGGCATAAGAGGCCCCTCGCTGGGTCCCACTTTCCTCTACCCTAGGAGGCTTTCGCCTACTGTGTTCATACAGCCCAGGAGCAAAGAATGGTTTTGACATTTTTAAATGGATGAAAAAATTTGTGACACATGAAAATTATATAAAAATTACATAAAATTCAAATTTCAGTGTCCATAAATAAGGTTTTATTGGAATACTGCCACTGGTGTACCTATTGTCTCTGCATGTATCCACTACACAATGCCAGAACTGAGCTGGGGTGCTTGGGTGGCTCAGTCCATTGAGCATTAAGCATCGACTTCAGCTCAGGTCATGTCTGGTCATGATCTCACAGTTCGTGAGTTCGAGCCCCACATTGGGCTCTGTGCTGACAGCTCAGAGCCTGGAGCCTCCTTCAGATTCTGTGTCTCCCTCTCCCTCTGCACGCCACCCCCAGGCCCCCGGCCAGCGCACCCGCTCTCTCGCTCTCCCTCAAAAATAAATAAACATTAAAAAAAAAAAAATTAAAAAACAAAAACAATGCCAGAACTAAGTAGACAGAGCAGGCCTCCTATGCTAAGCCTAAAATACTATTATAATTATGTTTATTACATTCACAACATACTATGATATAATTACATGTTAATATTATAAATATTATTACACTTACAACTGGAATTTGCCAACCTCTGAAGGAAGTCTTTGACCCAGAGGTCCATAGTAACACAGGCCCCAAAGAGTTAAGTGGCTCCAAAGTCACTTGTGCAAGACACCTGAGAGTGTCAATAGACTCTATCCAGCCAAGGTCCTCCTCCTCCTCCTGGGAGGCAGTGCAGTCAAGATATTCAGTCTGGCTGGCTCAGTCGGTAGAGCATGCAGCTCTTGATCTCGGGGTTGAAAGTTCCAGCCCCATATTGGGTGTCGAGATTACTAAAAAATAAAATCTTAAAAAAAAAAAAAAATGTTTTTGTCTAGACTTCGTCTGACCCACTAGTTAGCTAGCTGATTCTGAACAAGTCCCTTCCCCTCGCCCCGGTCTCAGTTTCCACCCGTGTAAATGGCGCTAATAACAGCACTCACCTCGCAGGGCTGCTGTGAAGGTGAAGAGAAAGGACGTCAGTAGAGGGTTAGCACCGGGCTCAGCACCCGGCGGACGTAAAATCAATGGTGGCTCCTGCTGCTGTCACTGAAAACCACTCCCGATGCTGGAGCCCCGTCCTAGGCACCCAAGGATGGCGACCATGGCCCTGAAGAGGCCCACGAGACAGCCTGGAGGCCGGGCCTCACCGCTCCCGCTCTCTGGCCTCGGTTTCCCCGACTGTGCCACTGAGACTACCAGAGGCGCCCCCTGCGTCGACACCAGCCTCGGCCCGTCCGCCCGCCGCCCCTCAAGCTCGGGCCCCCGCTGCTGCCGCTGGTTCGGCAGAGCCGCACCCCCACCAGAGGGATGCCCCCAAACCTGCAGTCCTGGAACTCACCAGGCGTCTCCACGGCAACGGCCTGCCTGCCGCGACCCCCAAGCCGGCTGGCCGCCCGCCTGACAATAAGGCGCGTTCCCATTGGCTCGTTGCCGGCTCCGTTAGCCAATCAGTGAGGGCGCACGCGCTGCTCGCCCGCCGCGCAGGCTCTCGTGGACCCTGCGGGCTGCAAACAGCCTAGCGCGGGAGTGTAAACCTTCCAGGTCCTTGCTTTTTGGTACTCGAACTATTGTGGACTCGGAGCGCCAGCTTGCAGTCGGACTCCACGCCCCATTGCTTGTAATATTTGGGAAGCGCCGAGTTCGGTGCCCGGCCCTGAGCAGTAGCTAAATGACGACGGGCCGTGTTATCGTTTGTTACAACCTGACACAGGTACTCTGAAGGCAATGTAAACTTGGGGAACACTTGGAACCAGGGGAGGAGGGTTCTCCTTTCTACTACCCCGTGCCTCATCTTTTTCAGAAAAGAATTTGAAGCCCAGAAGGCACAGATACAATCAACTATGAAACAAAGGAAAAACAAAAACAAAAATCACAAAAAATCAAGGCCGGGTAGACGAACGGTCTATCCAGGGAGTGACAGAATTCCAAAGTCTAAAGGAGGATTCGCATTGAAAGTTTCCTGAAAACGGCCTTGGGCTGAGAGAGGTTAAATTCTTGGGAGCGAAGCTTTTTTGAGAAAGACTTCACAGCCTTTCCAGCCTTTCTTGATTCCAGCAACCATGATTTAAACAGGAATGAAGGTTAGGGCTTTCTCTTTGACCTTACATAAAGATGGTAACATCATGGTGAAGAATTCAAAGCGCCAGTTCAGAACAATAAAGCCTTAGTGATACCCGGGAGTTTCAAAAAGAATTGAGTCACAAACCTTGACTTTGCCTTGGAGGGAGGGGCAGTGGACAGAGGCATAAACAGACGGTTTCAAAGTTTCATGGATAACACCCATCCTTGGATGCAGCTCTCATACCTGAGTTGTATCTTGAAATAGCTCTTGAAACAGTTGAAAAAAGATGGGAGAGTGGTCCCATAGAGAGCTATGTGGCAAGCTTTTGGAGGTAAGAGACATTGCAAGCCATGCTGGATCCTCAGGAAGCACAGTATTACCAGGGGGCAAAGCTCAAGGCCACAATGGGGCTAATGTGGAGAGGGGGGAGGGACAGTCGTCCCCACAGCAAATAGATGACATCACACTCACTACAGTGGGGATAAGACATTTAAGGTGGGACCAGGTAGAAGGCTGCTGCCTTATAGTCCTGGCTAGGGTTAGGCCTGAATCCCTTCTTGGGCACTTCAACCATTCATTCAATGATACAAACATTCCCTGAGCCCCTTTGGGAAGCAGGACACCCATGTTGGCAGAAGGAATGAGTGCAGGAACAGTTGGGACAGGGGGCCAAAGGAAGGAACTCCAAGCTCTGTTAATGGCATTCCACAGCAGTGGTCAGGGAGAAACACCACAGGCACAAGAACACTCCACTGGAAACTAACTTTACTAACTATATTAACAGGACAGACTTAAAATCTCAATTTGGTATTTCACTGGTACACTAAAGACAAGAATGATCAGGCCTTCAACTCTGTAGGGAAATACAGTGCCCATCACAGTGTCTAAGGGTCATGATATGTAAACTCTGCATCAAACATCTGGAAAGAAACCAAAAAGGACACCCTTTGCACCCTGCCCATATATCCCTGAAATTGGAAAGTATGATAGAGTATTTAGAGTTGGGGCGGGGATTGCATTCATTCCATTTCTAATGGCAGACATTGTATTTCCAGGTTTACCATTCCAGGACATGGGTTTTACAAGGTACACAGCCACCGAGAATTTTTAGCAAGACTCATAGGAGAAGATGGGAGTTTCGAAATGCCCAGGAAAGGTCCCAGAAGCCCAGCCATCCTGCTCTCCTGCTGAGCACAGCATTCCATGGGCAGTAAACTGCATGGGCCAACCCAAGCTGACGGCAAGAACATCTGGTTAGCAAAATCTGTAGGAAGACCCAAGCTGGACCAGTGCCCGCCCAACCAACCTGCACAGGGCATGGAGAGCAGGGCCCTAGGCTTCACCTTCCACACTTGGATTTGAACAGCCTACATACAATACATGAGACAGTGGCCCCGAAGACAGAAAAGATCCCATCTCTCAGGTTCCCTAAAGTTCCCACCTCATAAACCAACACCACTGCCCAGGGTGACAGAGAATGCCAGGGAGGGGTGAAGGGAGATAAAGAAGTCATGTTTGAAAGAAGGTCGCAGGGCACCTGGGTGACTCACTCGGTTAAGCATCCGACTCTTCATATTGGCTCAGGTCATGGTCTCAAGTTCAAGGCCCAAGTCAGGCTTCGTGTTGAGTGGAGAGCCTGCTTGGGATTCTCTCTCTCTCCCTCTCTCTCTCTGCCCCTCCCTCACTCACATTCTCTCTCTCTCAAAATAAATTAATAAACATTTAAAAAACGAAGAAGAAAAGAAAGAAGATCTCTTCATTTATTTGACACAAGGATGGGGAGGAAGAAGACTTGTGAGGCCACAGGCATATCTGCATGAAGGGGTGCCAGAAGCTGGTATCCACTAGGCCCTTCCTCTGCCAGGAGGCCTCTCTGGAAGGGGCAGAAAGCTCACAGATGTCCTAGATGCCCTCTGTGTCAATCATAGAAAAGTCATGACTGTCCCTTTCTTGCCAATCTGCCAGGGCTCCAGGGGGAAAAATCGGATAATTATCCTTCAAGAGACAGAAAAAGAAAAAAAAAGATGTCATTAGCTCCTTGGCTAATGCTTCATATTCCAAGACCCCTAGCCAGGCACTCCCACCATGGGTTCCCTGACCAGCCTGCCTTAGCCTAGAGGGCATTTTGGAAGCCTGCTTGATCTCATTAATGATTTCCCCCTGCAGGCCTGTCAGAAGCAGGATGGTGGCTGTCCCTGGACAGACACTCGACGCAGCAGCCTTTATGGTCACTGCATGTTCTGTAAACTCAGAGGGGCAGCCCTCCTGCTTTCAAACTCCAGGCCCCCTGGGGGCATGTGCAGTGCCCCAGACACCTTGTTTTCTCAAAAGCTAGCTCAAAACCAGTCATAGGGTGACCCCCGCCCCCATGTCTATGGAGTGAATAAACATGCCCCTCTCATAGAAGTGATGGGAAGTTCCTGATGAAGAGCAGGATACTTGGGATAGTCTAAGGGGTAGTAGGGGAAGGATTGTGTGTGACAGCTTTAGTTTTCCCATCTGCAAACCTCATGGGGATGGCATGTCCGCACAAGGCGATGTGAACAGAGGGGTAGGGCTTGCGTGGATCCAACGGGATCATGCATACAAGGTAGCTATAGATAAGCTGGCACATGGTAGGCATTCATATGTTACGTATTGTTGTTACAATTATTATCTCACCCCGGCTTGAGGACCAGGTCTGAGCACTCCCAGGAGTGACTATTCCTCACCAGCCTTCCTGGGCTAACAAAGGATCCATTCTGGAAGGTTCTTTCAAGCTTCTCATGCTCTTAGTTCCTCATAGGCATGGGCTTGGCGCAGGAATATTTTTCACCCAGGAAGAAACTTTAGCCCTGCCACAGAATCCCATGTTTGGGGGCTGTATGGTCTTCTTGGATGATCATTTAATACATGCCCCTCTAGGGGCGCCTGGGTGGCGCAGTCGGTTAAGCGTCCGACTTCAGCCAGGTCACGATCTCGCGGTCCGTGAGTTCGAGCCCCGCGTCAGGCTCTGGGCTGATGGCTCAGAGCCTGGAGCCTGTTTCCGATTCTGTGTCTCCCTCTCTCTCTGCCCCTCCCCCGTTCATGCTCTGTCTCTCTCTGTCCCAAAAAAATAAATAAACGTTAAAAAAAATTAAAAAAAAAATACATGCCCCTCTATTCACAGAAAAAAGGCTACAAACCAGAGATGGTTCACTTTCAGGTTTGTCAGGCATCCCCCAGCTGCACTGGACCTAGAACCCAGGTCTCCAGACATCCAAGCCAATGTCCTTTCCACTACTCCCTGACCCTCCTGGGAGCCTCACTTGGGACCTAGCTGGGCTACACGGCCAAAGGTCACACAGCCTCAGGACATTCCCAGAATCCCTCCTGACCAGCCTGGAGAAGCTCTCCTATTAAATTACTCTTGGTTTTCTAAGTTGTGGAGAAGACTAAAGGCAGATGATAAATGGTTATAGCTTTGTCAGGTCAATAACATTCTACCCTGCAGGGTGCCAAGGGAGATACAGGGCACTGCCATCTCACACGACTCTGGCAACTCCCCCCAGGAAGTAAAGGAGAGCCTTCCCACTTCACAGATGGAAACATTGGGGTTGGAGAAGCCACGCCTTGCCCACATGTCAAGGGAACCATGGCATAGCCAGGAATTCATTCAATTCCACTACCATTCTGAGGGTAGACATACCATCCGAGGACCTAGGGCCCTAGGCCCTTCTTGAGCAGGGAGAAGAGTGCATTTTTTACCCCCAGCCTTGCAAGGGGCCTTGGAATGGGATCACTGCCCCCATCTTCTCCCTGCCCCCACGCACCGATCCTGGCCCAGGCCCATCTCCTTGGTGAGGAACTCGAAGAATCGGGCGCTGTGTCCACGGTTCTCCTCGGCCGTGCCCACCACACCGATGGAGGAGATGATCAGCTGCGCGCAGGGATCGGTAGAGCCGTTCACCGCCATGGCCAGACCTGGTCGCAAGGTCACGTTCACGCGCTGCGGAGAACAGGAAAGTTTCGCCTGAAGCTTGTACAGGCCAAGTTGCTCTGAGGACCTGGGAGGGCAAGACCCTACAAGCATGGATCCCTGGGGTCAGGGCTAGAGGCTCGGGGCGGAGTCCTTGGAGGTCATGTTGGTTTCAGGGCCAGGGAAGGCAGCAAGGAGCAGACATGAGGGGTGGTGCCG